GCCGTGCTACTTTGAATAGGCATCAACCTCATTTGGAGCATCCCAGCATGGGAAATGGAGTTCCACAGATTGTTAATGTAACACACCTCCCTAGCACCCTTAGTCATACAAGAGTTCGAAAACAAAATTTATAGCGGAAGTAAAAACACTTTTGAAAAAGAAAGATCATAAATACCTGTAAAGGAAAACCACTTTAAATATATATATATTGAAAAAGTGCCAAAATATTCAAAGTTATAAAATAAGCCAAGTTAAGTTCATTTATAATTAATTTAAAAGTTTTATACATAAAGTTAATTTACACAAAAATTATATGAGGTAAATTTCTTCTTCAAAGCTTTCGAAAAAAACAAAAGCTGAGTCATTGTTTTGGTAAGATATCAATCTACCTCCTTATCGAAAACACGAGATCCTAGCTTGTACATACAACGAGCATGCAAGTCCCGTGCCAAAAGCTCCTAAACCGAGATGTTGCTACATCGATCTACTGATCTGAAATGGGGGGATTTTATGAACTCACAGCCCAGTAAGTAATAAGCTTAAGCTGTAAACTTGGGTTCTAAGACCCTTACATCTATCCACACAAAGAACATAATACACAAGACACAACGGAATCAAATCACATAATATTGTAATTCTCAAATCATAAGCACAAATGTCTAAATTGAATTCATATATTAAAATCCTACGCTCACAAATATGATGTCACAAGCGCAATGCATAAAATCGAAAATCACATAATGCTATGGAGTTGTGCTAGCAACACTGTACCGGAGCTAATCACGGTACTAACCCTACTGCGCAGAGATCCACTAAATACCCCGAAAAGTCCACTAAATACCCCAAACTTTAAGCTTAGGTCCACTTACTCCATAGTCACAAACACATATGCATGTCAAACAAATTCATAATATGTCCAAAATAATATTAGGACTTTCTATTGGAAGATATCAAAGCATAATTCGTGAACAGTAATCGTGAACAGTAATCATGAACAGTATCATAAACAGTAATTCGCAAATAATACAATTTCCTTCTAATTTCTGCAGCAAAAATTGCACCCAAATCAAACAATAGAAAGGACTAACTCACTATCTTTTTCATATCAGCCCCAAAATTAAGGATATTTCTAATAAAAGTTTAATACCTAAAAATCTTATAAATCAAAAAATTAAAGTCAAATCTCACCAGTTTAAACTACCCAAAACTCTAAACCAAGATTCATAACTAAAACTTATACTTATCTAACAAAAGCACCTTAATCTTGGTTGGAGAAAAGAGGAAGAAAGGATGTAGATGGAAGAGGAAGGCATAGGAAAACAAAATGGGGCTTTTGAGAGGCTTCTGGAGGCTTATCCAAGCTTCCACCGACAAAGACCAAAAAAACTTGGTTGGGAAAATGCAATGTGGTAAATAAAATTGGGATAATTGAGTTATGGTCATTCAACTTTTACTAAATTTTATTTAAAACCCCTAAACTTTAAATTTAATCAATTTAATCCTTAAAACTATAAATTAAAATGTACTAATTTTTAAATTATTCACTAAGGTACGTGGGGTGGTACAGTTAATCCCTGTGCTGAGTGCCCCCAGGTCGGGAAAATTTTATGATGAGTGCAGATGCCAAATTGCACATTGGAATGTACCCCAAAGATCACACTGATGCCCGATCTCCTTACTATGAAACACAGAGTCATGAAAGAGGCTGGGTTCTGCCACACCAATTAAACCCTCGTGTTGAGGATACCAGAAATC